TTAAGTATTTTTTCACGTGTCTTTCGTTATTGGGAAAGATAAGGAAATATGTGTTGGTTTATGTTGATTTCATTAGATTAGACGATGATTATTGGTCGAGCGTTTATTTACCAAATAAACGAATGAAAACAGTCGAATGTACTTATGAGAAGAAAGACAAACAAGCTCTTAGGTGTCATTGATTGTCCAGATGAGAATATCTAATGGCTAAAGAGAACTCAAAATCCGTAACAGAATTGATTGAAAATGCATTAGGTCTGAACTTTCGGATTAAATAAATACTTTAGATAAAGAATATTTCTTTGTGTATCACAGAACGAAACATTCGAATCTCTCAGGCGAACAATTCAACTCGGAGTATCAACTCGTAATAGTATTCTTCTTTTTCTCTCGAAAATATCGTTGTGCTACGAACAAATATATCTGTTTGGAAAATATTTAATTAAATCTATTCTTGGACGTCTTCTTTTTCACTTCAACCATCAGCTTCTGTGTATAATCGATGAGCCTTTCTGTCGTTTGACTCTTTGTTGAAACTCTCGTCCTTTTTCAAATTTATTTGTTATTTCGATCAATTTATCCAGATTACGATAAATAATTGACAAAATCATTTCAGATATGTGAAACACATTCATATTATGTTCAGAAATTTTTCCTTCGATGTACACACTGATTTTAATTAATACCAACAGTTGTATTTGTACGGCATCTTTATTTCCAACACATGTTTTTGTTCATAAGACATTTCTTTCTCGAAAAAATTCTTCCGTATATGTTGTTGGCCAATCATTCGATTTCATACAATGAAGACGTCACTGGGAAAAAATACTGAACGGAAGTAGTTTTTTAATGTTTATAGTTCATTTAACAAAGACTAGAAGCAATAATGAGTGATTCGGAAATGAACAGCGCATTTGGAACAACAAATGACGATAGAACAACATCAAACGAACTATCTCTCAATCCAATTGATCTAAATGTTTTCATCAATACCTTTCGAGACGATTCAATGAGTGAAGACATACAAGCAATAGTTTGTCAAGAAAAACGAGTCGAGGATTTGCCAATTGTAAAACAATTTGAAGAAATGCGAACTCGATCTATAAATACACATTCATCGACAACATTTAAGAGACAGTCCATGAGAATATCGAGCATTTCTCAATATAGCCATACTCTCAAAAATTTTGACCCCCCCTTTTTTATGATCGCAAATGAAAGAGCATCATCTAAAACTACTACACCCAAATTTTCAGCTCATTTGGACTTACCTTTGAAGAGTTATGAGCCTCGCATTGACCGGTGCTACGCTATTTTTCATGAAAATCTCAAATTTTCAAGTTTTTCAAAACTATTGCTTTTTGTCCACTATATTTCAATGTGGCATTGGTAAACTCGATACCATCTAGTAGAGGAAATTCCGCTCTACAAAACTGCCTATATGGCTTCTCTTAAAACCTGATAAACATACCATTTTCATCATAGAAACTTTGCTTCGTGTGTCTTTTTTTTTCTCCTGTTTTTCAATGTAACCCGTCTCTCTCTGCCATTTGCAAGCCACCCAGAATGATTTCTACTGATTTAGATAGAGCCAATGAAGGGCTATCGAACGCCTATAAAACTTTTAAAATCAAAGTTGCACGAAGTGTTCAAATCTGCCTCACAAAATACACCATTCTCTGATAAAATGACATTTTTTCGCACATTATGCAGGTGCTTTGTAAATCGAGTTCTCTTCTAAGTAATCAATCGATTCTAAATAATTGATTTACATATGAGATGAACTCGATTGGTCATATCGAAGTTCGTTGCTGCCATCTATCATCAATATTCAAGCGTCCTATAGAGAGAAATATTGAACGTATACAATATCTTGTACAATCTTATGAATCAAACCGATGTGAAGCTCATAATTTCATAGCATCATCTACGGTTCAAAATGAACTATGAAACTTCATATCAGTCTTGTAACTTCATCTATCCGTATATATTAAGCAAACCATTCAAACCTTGATTGTGGAAAACCGACAAATCCTCAAGTTTGAACAACATACTTTTATGCTTGTTTTCCGATTGAATTCTTGCATCTTGACTACAACTTAACAAATTTGCTATCCAAATAGCCATGTTTAAATGAAAAATCGCGGGAGTGACTCTATGGTACTGCGCAGTACAACGAGAATACATATATTTTCAATCAACGAATATTTGTAAATGAGTTCATGAATCATCCTTTATTTTCAATATTAATCTTAGAAGTGACGTTGAAACCAAAATAGCTGCGTAGAAACAAGGTTCAGACAGATGTCACATATGAAAACAAAAAGTGCGAAGCCTAGCTTTCAATATGATATGGATAATACTGCGAAAGATTGAATACGAATGGTTAGGTCGAGCGACTTGCTTCTTTAAGAAAAGTATCTCTCTCAACGGCTTCTTGAATAGCTGTATCATCTTTGAAAAATTCCTAGAAAATAACAGATAAGTTTTGAAGAGAATATAAGTCAGGTGATTAACCTCTGCATAAGACTCCTCGTCGATATCTTCTTCATTATCCCCTTCTAAATCAAGAAATGTAGGGATTGCTCGAGTAGTTGAAAACGATTGTTCAGTTGTTTGAGTTTGATTTTTTTTCATTCGTGAGAAATAACTACGTATTTGGCTTGTGGTTAACCATTCATTAGGTGCAAATACATATTTACCATTGCCGGCTTTAAGCTGTTGCATTGCTTTTGCCACCGTCTCCGGTTTCCAGAAACGACCATTGACCAATCCATCATTAAATTTCTCCTAAGCGGTACACGATAACTGTAGCTGAGTTGTTAGGAATTCATAGAAGGAATTGGGTATGTAAAATCGTCTAATACTTACTTGTAAAAATTGTTTTTGCTTGATCGTGTATCTGATCGGTGCACGCGCTGTTGGAAGACCCCATCCCATCTCAAGAGCAGATACTTCATCAAAGTTACTTGAATCGAAGGTAATGCTTTCAACCGACAATGGTATCATTCGTTTATTTTCTGCTGTTAGTAATTTGGCATGATACAATTTCTTTGCGGTATCTATCAATGTGAACCTTTCGGGTTCTTTCCGATGATCCCCTATCGCAAGATGCCTCATCAAGTTGCCATATTTGAAAAACGAATGTACGCATCCTTCTTCTGGACATTGAAAAGGATTGTTATTATTATCATTGGTGGATAAATGATCGATTGTTTTAGAGTCCCGCGAAGTTTTTGCAGATATCGAAGTTTGAATGGTTGAGCCAAATACAATGAGTTGAGATGGATTTATTAATTCCATTAAACCGATTTTAACAGTCTAGAAAACATAGATAATGACATAGACGTCTTGAGAATATTCAAAGCCCATCATATCACTGATGCATTAACTTCCTGCACTAGCCTGAAATCGTTCATACGAAGTGTGATAAGTTGCATCGTTGAAAACTGTCTTTTGTTCACTTAATCCGTCGCAAAATACTCATGTTTCATATCACTTTTGAATATATAGATAGAGTCAAAAGAGAGAAGGATGGTATTCTACCAATAAGAAAAGTCGTTGGGAACTTTTTCATCAAGGAAAATATCCCTCTCAGATATCCAATATCAGGGATAAGCTAATTTCTTTTATCTCTGTGAAGGATCAAGACGGGAATAGTTGCATGTTATACAGACTTTTCATTGAATAGTAATGCTAGCTATCTTACTCCAGGTAGTAGTTTGTGATACGGAAATAGTTGACCTTCACCAACGCTCCACGCTCGAAATGCTCGAATACCATGTCGTTCGTAGCAAAAGTTTCGAAATTTTCTTATATTATTAAACTTGAATTTCATTGGTTGGACAGTTGGTGTGAATTTACATTGGACAACATTAACATTCTTCACACCACCATATGAGCGGCAAGCTTCTACAAATTCTTCTGCATTTGTAACATCATGCTTTTCGTTGAGATAACGCCTAACGTGCGATTTGATAACTGCAGCAAAACGATCACTAGAACCTAAGTCAATGAAGATTTGTCTTACGGGAGAATCTGCAACTTGTGTTAATATTACCTTTTCCGCCTTGTGGATCAGCAAAATCTAATCTTCGAATCGAGATTTTTGACTGATCGGATACAGTAGGCATCGATAAAACCGTTAGTGCACTATGATAGCACGCAGCATTGTCGGTTCGCAAGCATGCTTGTTCAATTGATGGATCATATGCTTTTAGTCTGAATAAGACATCGGCAATTATTGCAACAACAAGATTACTGTCTTGTACGCATTGATCAAATACGTGAACGAATACCGTGTGATCAAAATCTTTCAAGCCTATTATTCAATGAAAAACTGTATGATATTGATGTACTTCGAACTGAAGTATCGAAACGGTTTCTCATTTCTTCTGCGATTTCTCCTCACATTTTACTTTGTGAATTATCAAAATATTCAAAGACAATATCCAATGCCACAAGTGTTGATTTGATTAACAATTACTAAGTCATTCCATATATCAACATGATTCATCAACATCCTCATGAGACCTTTGTCTACATACACTCAATAAATCCGATAGAATTCAGGAAAATACATATATTCGTGATAGGTCTCGTTCCGCTATATCTGTACGATGAACATACAAAAATGGTTTCCGACCGGCTTCGCTATTCATGAAATGAGCAGTAATATTAAGTCACAAAATCAACCATTGACTCACACAATCAATTATCTTACTTGATGAATGCAGATCATGTGGGTCCACACCTTCCTCATCTGTTAAATCTTGTTCACAGCCACTGATTGCCATATTACTTTCTTGTGCGGATTCACTGTTTATGTTAGTAACATTTGATTGACTTTCTTTCTTACGTGAGACGACTGTTATGTGCCACGAAATGCCACGTTTTCCAAAGAAATCCGTTTGTGGTTCGCGATACTTGGCAGGAAGCCACCTATAATAAAATACGGAATATGCTATTTGTACATCAACAATGCATCCAGCCTTTGACCAAAACTATTTTTAAACTGCTGTTCTTATGTTATTTTGGGCGATAACAAAAAGCAATACTATGTAACAATTTCCGGCTATCAGACACCATAAAGGTTTTGCAAAAAAATTACATAAAATAGATGCGAGTTGCAAACTATGATGATCATTGTAAAACTAGAAACTTATGTATTTACTTCATCGCAAAATCCAGATTGAGGTAGACTGCGTCTTCGCCGATGATATTCAGTATACAATCCCTTCCTAAATCTTGATTTACTGAACGTAATTGATGACACTTCCAAGCTTGTATATTGTCACACGCCAGATTGAATGTATGCAGCTTTCTCGGAACTTCTTCAACATCAGTTGTAGAGTCAACAATGGTTTGATGAATATCTTGCAATGTTTGAGCTAGATATGTGCATTCTGCGCACACCTGATCATGATTATGATCTTTACACGGTTCTGAAAATTCATCTGACATTGGATCATTTAAAGAATAACAAATACAATAGTCAGGTACATGAGAGTTTCTCACTACGTTTAGTTTAAAATCGGTTTTTAGATACTGCTTGCCTCGTTTAAGACCACCTTGGATACGGCGTTGGTCGTTTGAATCAAGATTCAAGGAGTTAACCAATTCAAATAACTCATCAAAAGCTTCGGTACCATTGGCAACAAAGTAGTTTAATCCTGCCACAGCACGTCGTGTCGAGGCTTTGCATGCCTTTAATATTTTAAATAGAGTGGAATCATGAAGAAGTGGCAAATCCGGAAAGAGTTCTCCACCGTATTTATAATATTGTTCAATTACACGTGTTGAATTATAATTTCGAATTGTATCAGGAACTAGCAATTTCGTTCCATCAGATAAAGCCATCGTACGCTCACCAAATGGGATGTCCGTACAAATGTAATTACTAAGAATAAAATCTATGAAATGATCGACTTGTTCAATCTCGTATCGATAAATAACACGCCGTGGTTTCGTTACTATTGCGCCTGCATGTTTATTAGCAGCATGGAGACGAGCCGCTGTAAATCGATAATGTGTCAAACCAGGAATGAAACTTTCTAAAAGTGAAAACTTCACCTTTGGTGCAACGATGGACAAAATGGATCGTTTTGTTGATGTATCCTCGGCGTTGTTATAAGCCTCAGCAATACCGTTCATAACGGGTACTAACTGACGATCATACAGTTTTTTGTCGGAAGCTAGAATAGCAGATGTACGCAGATGTTCAAGAAGAAAACTGATAATAGTTACCGTCGTTTGAAGAAAAGAGTTCATCCGTAAAATCGGTGGAATTTTCTGTTACCAAAAATTGAATAATATGCTGGAATAAATGACGCGCAGAAGTAAGAAAATTGGCTTTTGATTGACGTTTAAGATCATCGTAGTTATGAGTGGTTCTAACTACTCTCTGAGAACCACATAGCTTCAAAAATTGATTAAGTACGGAACGTTTTTCTTTGTGTAATTCGATTGCACTATTATAATCAACGCTTTCCGGTGATGAATGCATCATAGGATATTCATAAAGATCACTTCTAATATCGTCGTCGTATTCATCATCACTGATTTCACAGTCTAAAATCCATTTGAAAATACTCTCATGTTTCGCAATACGATTTGCATTCGAATGCGTTGAAACAAGGTGACGGCATGTTGAACATATAGTCTTTCCATAAGAATGATGAAATCCAAAGCTTTCGTAAATCGTCAAAGCTTGGCTAGGCGAGATATTACGTTCTGATTTGTTCTAAGACATAAAAACAATGGTAACACATTGGGAGAGAAAAAAGTCGTATAAAATCTTACAGGTAATGGTTTGTTCAAAGACGCACACAACCAACACTTTCTATACGACGACACAGAATATTCTTTTGAAACGGCTTGAAGATGGTTAGAACAAATGTACGTCGAATATAACGACAATCGTTGTTGATAAAATCGATCACCGTTCAAAAGAATTAGTTCAATTAACGATTTCACACCAGGAAAACATTTGGCATTGATTTGTTTATATCGAAGATTGTATAACGATGTTAAATCGACACTACATATGTGCCGGTCTGTCAGCAAACAATTGCGTTCTCGCATTATTTCTATGAAAACAATAATTAACAAAAATATTTAAAAAAAAGAAATATATTTTAATATTCTATGATAGTATATGATTGATCCATTTTTCAAAGGATACTTCTGCGGATTATCTAGGAAGAGTACATCAGCTCTATACTCTGTCGTCACTTGAACATAAGAAGAATATATTTCTAATAAAAAGGATAAGAGTATATTGACTCGATTCACTCAGTTTGGACTAATTGAGTTATTCATCGAGAAAATCTTCCGAAAGACGTAATATTGGTTCACTTGTTTCACATATCTATGTCCTTGAAACTCTTATAATTCAGAATCCTCTGTGGTATAAAAAAACCGGATACATTTCAAAGGAATCACTGGCGTATGAAGCATTACCTCCTCGAAGTAAATGCTATTCTACTTAATCTATATTGATGTGTTTGGTGACTACTTTATTTTATGCGTAATTTGTTTCAACGTAAACTCACAAAATCAAAATCAATGAAAAGATATCCCTTCAAAAAACTAAGAGTATGAAGAAAAAAGAAGTAATATTGAATGTCATTGAAGCTCAATAGATTAGGTTTTCCTGGAATGATGTCCACCTATCGACAAGAGGAGATACGTACTATTTACCTATCAACGAAACACATATTTGTATCGATGACTCAAAGATTATACACATAAAAAGTCGTAAACACTACGCATTCGAATCCTCAAGCAATGTTCTATGATATTATCTAGCAGACACTATCCTACATCCTCGACGACTATTTTATCTGTTTTAATCCGAAGAAAAAGACCTTGAACATATGAACATATGAAGAACAGCAGACAAACACGTGTTTTCCAAGAGCAAATTTATCACTTTGTCTCGTGTATATAGCTGCACAAGAAACGAAAGAGAACAGTCCATGACCCAGACGATATCACACTATATCTGATAGTACACATTATTTCTCAATGAAAATCAAAGAACGCGATAATCTAAAAGTCATTTTTATCACTTTCGAGCATATCAAAATGATTTTCACGAATTCTTATTATGCATGAACATAGAACATGAACACACGTTTGATATGAAATAGCTTTCGGATGATTTTCGACTGAATGATCCATGCGACGGCAAAGTACATGTTCAATCTATTTCAGAAATGACATTTTGTATACATATATTCCGAAACATAAGATTCGTCTTTTCTATTAGCACATTTTATAGTGCAAAGAAATCATTCACTATCGAAAAACATGACAGTTGTCTCTCAGTTCACTTTGTGATACATACTATTATGCGGACTTATAGACAGTATGCGCAAGATGTTCAATGTGACTTTTCATTTAAACATGGCTATTTGGATAGCAAATTTGTTAAGTTGTAGTCAAGATGCAAGAATTCAATCGGAAAACAAGCATAAAAGTATGTTGTTCAAACTTGAGGATTTGTCGGTTTTCCACAATCAAGGTTTGAATGGTTTGCTTAATATATACGGATAGATGAAGTTACAAGACTGATATGAAGTTTCATAGTTCATTTTGAACCGTAGATGATGCTATGAAATTATGAGCTTCACATCGGTTTGATTCATAAGATTGTACAAGATATTGTATACGTTCAATATTTCTCTCTATAGGACGCTTGAATATTGATGATAGATGGCAGCAACGAACTTCGATATGACCAATCGAGTTCATCTCATATGTAAATCAATTATTTAGAATCGATTGATTACTTAGAAGAGAACTCGATTTACAAAGCACCTGCATAATGTGCAAAAATGTGCGAAAAAATGTCATTTTATCAGAGAATGGTGTATTTTGTGAGGCAGATTTGAACACTTCGTGCAACTTTGATTTTAAAAGTTTTATAGGCGTTCGATAGCCCTTCATTGGCTCTATCTAAATCAGTAGAAATCATTCTGGGTGGCTTGCAAATGGCAGAGAGAGACGGGTTACATTGAAAAACAGGAGAAAAAAAAAGACACACGAAGCAAAGTTTCTATGATGAAAATGGTATGTTTATCAGGTTTTAAGAGAAGCCATATAGGCAGTTTTGTAGAGCGGAATTTCCTCTACTAGATGGTATCGAGTTTACCAATGCCACATTGAAATATAGTGGACAAAAAGCAATAGTTTTGAAAAACTTGAAAATTTGAGATTTTCATGAAAAATAGCGTAGCACCGGTCAATGCGAGGCTCATAACTCTTTAAAGGTAAGTCCAAATGAGCTGAAAATTTGGGTGTAGTAGTTTTAGATGATGCTCTTTCATTTGCGATCATAAAAAAGGGGGGTCAAAATTTTTGAGAGTATGGCTATATTGAGAAATGCTCGATATTCTCATGGACTGTCTCTTAAATCTTTCACAATCTGTGGTGGTGTAGTATTGGTTTCCCATGTTGTGAATAACGCACGTTCATCATCGGACAGTGGACGCACTTCGAGTAAATCTAGCGAGATAGAAAGTACGAAACAGTATGATCACTCTCTTCTTCACGTCATAGGTAGAGAGGTCAAAACGCCTTTCATACTTGAATATTAGAAAATATCAAGAACCAGATACGATACATCATAGTAGAATGGATTGAATGACCATAATCGAGCATAAACAAAGAACAGCGTTATGAGAAAATATTTGAGTGTCTTTTCGATAGTATTCAATTTGAATGGTCCGTACACGGATTGATTCCATTTATATGATGACAATAGAAGAGCGATACCTTCGTCAACGATGACAAACGGTGAATTTGGTATAGAGATTAAGGACTTGATCTCCTTCTCTAATGAAATGCTCGCCTCTCGACGAAGCAATCGTGATAATTGATGATTGCTGATAGTCAGATAATTCAAGGCAGCTATTGCAAAGTGAAGAAGCTCTATTCCCGACAGTTCTTCACTGATGCGCTCCAACAGTTCATTTGGAAAAATTGGTGAGCGTTGAATCGACATGGAGGATGTTGGAACGATTACAAACGAGATGCGAAAAGAAAACGGAAATTTTAAATGATTGAATAAATCAAACTTCTGAAACTGCGTGTCAACTAATTTTAGCGCTCACGTCATTTCTAGCAAAATCTAATCTGCACACCGATTGTTTCGCATCAAAGATTTCTGATCAAGCGAGCAAGCCCGTATGTGTGAATCTCATGTCTTACGATAGCTTCTTTTTTAACTCCCATACAGAAGAACAAACATAACTCAATAGAACAACACCATTGTTATTGACAATGACACTTTCATTTCTAAGTTTCACGAATTCCAAACGTATGCGCAATCATTATACCACCTCCACAGAGATACTGAACATTAAATCAATATCAGAATTGAAGTGGATTGACAGTCACGATAGTTCACTTTCATTATCACACCTATTATTTTCATGTGAGCTTCAACAACTTCTGTCTGTATCAGACTTACTTGTATCCATCATTCGAACGAATTCCGAACGCATTTTTCGTACAAGACAAATCATCGAACAAATCGAAGAAATATTTTTATATTCTTCGCCATTCATATCCTAGTCTGAATCAATCTATCAAGATTTCAGTTCTTTTCTCATTTCCTCATATCAAAACGACTGACGGATTTCAAACGAACATAAGTTTAATATCAATTATCCAACTATATATAGCAGGCTGTTATGTCAATTAGCAATACACATGACTTTCAATGCGGTAGATATTCCTGTTATTGAACACCAGCTGGCAAATAATAGCATGGAGTTTCATAGGCACGTTTATCGGCTGTTCTTTCGTTTTTTACGAGTCATTTCAATCAGTCAAACTACCAATGAAGGAAGCAAAGACACGTGACGATTCAATCGGTGTCTTTCTCTTTTTTTGATCAGTTATTCACTGTATATGTCTTTTCAATTTATTCCATTTCATCACAAACAAGTAGACATTCGCAATCAGCTGCTGCATCCGGAAAAGCCCACAATCGTGCTCGAATATTATCTTCAGAAAGTTCGTATTCCAACCCATCAGAGCAATCCTGTACAACAACATAAACGTTGCATCTGTACTCGATCAGCCTCTTGAGATAATCTGTCATATTGACTGAATGAATACGCTGATGGTACTCTGGTTGTTGCGAATCGATTTTGAAGAAGTAACTCGGCGTTAGTCGGAAACGCCGCAAACAATAGTAATGATAATCTTGTTGAATCAGCAAAGCTTGAACATTTTGCATATGCGAGAGAATAACATTATGAGGAGATGATACGTTCGGTTCTAAAGTGTGAAGTTGTAGGAGATCAATATTAAAAGTGTTCATCAGAGCAGCTTTCAAGATCTGTATGTCATATTGTCCTCTATCTTCATAGTAGTAATCGTTTGAACGGACTGTTTGTTCATGTCGAACGATATTTTCCTCAGCTACTAGATTTCGAGCAACTTCCATTAAATATCCATCATCGAATAAATCGAGTCGTTGTGCCAATGCACGAAGAGCATGGCGTCCACAAAAAAGTGCTTCTTGTCTTTCACAAACAATTATGTCTTCCGGCTTTTTGTTCAATCCAGATGTCGACAAATTTGTACTATCATATTTACATCGTTTTCTCTCATCATAATCTTCAACTGCATTATTACTATCTCCACATGACGTAGTTAAAGATTCATCAACTTTAAATGAATGTGGAAGACACCACTCAACGTATCTCTATACGAAATACAGACATCTTTGTCGAGCATAATGCACATCGTCTTACATCACTCCCCAAGTATTGCTCAATTCGAATCGGGTAGTCTTTCTCGAGTTGTTCAAGTCGAGACATTTCACACAATGCAGTTTTCGATGCCTGCATAAAATGATACTGTTTCCACACATTGAAAGAAGAAGAAACCGGCAAACTACTTTGAAAGATTTACGATCATAATCCAAGATGATAATGTCGCTCAGCCTTCGTGTGCGACTCAGGATTGTGTAAAACATGCCAGGTTTCCAATTAATGCCATTGAGATCTACAACTAACTTGTTACAGGTCATGCATTGTGTTCTATGAACCGTTATTGCATAGCCGAGAGTGAGTGGTAGTTGTCGTCGTGTCATCCAAATTCCATTTTTATCTTTGAAGCTGACTTCTTCTGGAACCATTTTATAGACACACCCATTGTCTAGTGCTTACATGAAAGAATTAAATGGATGCATACATACCCCGGTCTCACTTACTAAGTTCAACATAATTCGGTAACGTTGTTCTCACTGATCGGTCTAGAGTCGGAAACACACATCGATTGTTCATTGGTAAGACGATATTATCATTATCGTTCCAGACAATATCTCTGATGGTTGCTTCCGTACCATTAACCATGGTACCGTCAAAATCGATATTCCGACGACAAATAACGCGTGCACCAACGCACAGTGGAAGTTGTTCAAACATCGATCCACATTCATTTTCATTACTCGACGGTTTTAATACAATCTTACATTCTTTTTTGATAGACTTCACAGGAGCGAAACATGATGTTTGAGCCATACCAACTTTCTATAGACATAACTCATGAATACAATTTCTCTTAGTGTATTTTAAAACTAACATCAACTGCTTGAATGAGCCAAATTGTTGTTTTCATTTTTGAAGCAGTTTCTTTCAATTTCATCGCATTTCTCTCGTTTGTTTTCGATCGCACACTATAGGCGTAGACAGCGTTGGCGAAATCGACTGAGTTCAACTCGGTCAATCGCTCATTATAGTGTTCTGGGTTGTTTTCCTTTCGAATGCTTCGACTCTTTATCTTGTTTTCATCTTCCTCATTGTATTGCCCTATATAATGATCACTTTGTCTTATCTTCAAGATAGAAAGTAGAATACCTAGTCGAATACGACAAAGAATGTCGAAAAACTCTCGGTCTTCGTCTTGTCTCATATTGACGTTGAAATTGATTGGTCTGAATAAATCAGACCAAAGCGAAAAAGTTTCACCGGCAGGATGCCAGAAAATCTGTTTTGCAGCCACTGGCTCGCATTGAGCCAAATCTCCGAACAACAACACCGGAATGTTGCCGAAGTAGACGTCACTTTTGTTCGAAAGTTCGAAGATCTCGTTCAGACGTTTGTTCACTTTATGAAAGAGATTATGCGAAACGAGCGAAATTTCATCGATAATGATCAAAATGAGATCACCGAGTTGGTTTCGAAGAGAGTGTATTTTGAACGACGGAGCATTATTGGGCGTCGACGTATTATCAGGACGCTAGTTAGTACTCAAACTATTATAAGTCATCGTTACTATAACGGTGCTCTTACCATTCCAAGTGCTGAATGGATTGTATATCCAAGTATATTCAATGCGGCTTTACCGGTATGAGCCATCTTCAATAAACCTTTCCTTTTTCGTGGACGATTGCGCATTGCCGACTCACTAATACAGAAATCGGTGAGCATTTGTTCGATAATGGAGATGACGTAAGACTTTCCAGAACCAGCCAAGCCATTGACTACGATATGGAAAGGTAGTGGCTTTGACGCATGTTTGTCTTGATGTCGGCTCTCTTCATATCGCAATAATGCAAAAAGATACTGTCTGAAGAAGTTCGCAAGGAATCGTTGTTGTGTATTCGCTGATGCTAACAATTCATTTGTGCGTGTACACGGAGAATCCAATCTACCATATTCGTTAAGGATAATGTCTGATAATTTCTCTTCTCTCGTTCTCTGGCAGTCACCAATTTCTTTCAATTCTACTTTTTCATCGATATTATCAACAACAATAGTAACCGGTTGCACACTTTGTTTTATTTCATCATACATCTCATCGTCATCTTCTGTGGTAAATATCAATGACGTTCGTGGTTTGATCGCAAAATCGTGCGCTGTCAAATCGCATAAATGTTCAAATGCGTTCATCATTTGTACTTTATATGCACTGGGTAGTCTAGAAAAGCTAGTAGTCAACTGGTTTCGATTTTTCAACAGGACTTCATGAATGGCTGTCATATCATTTTCTAAAACAGAATTCAACGATACGGTAACTCACATATCATGAAGATTTATAAAACGGACCCTGTTTACCACCGAGGAATTGTTCAATCGGATCTCGATACGGTACTCCGATAGTCAGAATGGAATACATCGCTAACATCGATTCATTGTACCGACAAGTGAAGCTCACACATGTTGGCTCCTTATGTTGTATCAACACAGTACCACACGATAAAATGATTCGAGGTAGTAACGTTGATGTTTTCAGGAGCGGTGGTTGATTGAAATCAGTGCGCCGTAGCGTATTTTCAATCAATGGTGTTGCCAAGATTTGTGCTTCTATTACCGATGATGAGCGATCATAGTCAAACCAAGTAAGAAATTCAAACAAAGTCATTTGATCGAGGGCCGTTGGAGTGGATGGTCGTCTTATGTAACGATGCGTCAATGATTCTACGAGGTCATCTATACTATTCACCTCTGTTCGGCCCCGTTTAAGTAACCGTTCCTCATTCCACGGTAACGAAATGCACAAACTCTTGCACCGTACTGATGAATGATATAGCGGGATCCCTACAGTTCACACATTAACAATTCGTTTCTCGACAAAATCTTACAGACCCAGAACCGTCCACGATGCCTCCACTTTACCGACTTGCCGATGGGATAGTACAGCGTTGCCTGTCTTCAACAACACAGCTTTCGCTTCCTTCACGCTAGTACAAGTGCAGTTGGACATTTGCGAGACTAAGTCTTTTTCCATATGAGCATTTTTCGACACATACGAGAACAAGAATTCGGCAGATGCCCATGGATCGGTGATAACTTGGATATCATGATTACACCGAAATGTTTTCAACAAGTGTAGGTTATATGGAATTATTCTTCGCGACTACAGCACATATAGAAACTTCCATTAATACACAATAGCATATGTATCCGAACTAATCAACTCAGAGAGAATTATTAGCATATTGAACCTACCTCTTCGGTTAATCGTTTAATAATTATGTCTCGGTCTCCCCTAACGAGAATACGGGCTTCTTTATGAGTACGGAAATGGGTTTCATTGGCCAAAGCGCACGGAGATCCAAACCGACAATCCAGTCTTTCAAAGAAATCTTTTCTGTCAATCGCCAACTGCAAGACATCAGGATCTTTTCCTGGATCGACTTCTTCGTAAATTTCATTTTCATGCAAATAATTTTTATTGACGTCTTTGATTCGACTTGCATTCAGAGTTTTGCTTTGGTCTTCATCTTTAAATTTTCGTCCTCTCCGTATTCGAACATATAAAGGTCCTATCAATGTTAGATTACTATAGACTAACATTAAGCAGATTCCCCACTAACCCGTTGAGCACGTGAACGTATGATGATGAAACTGATTTCTTAGTACGAGTGCGTGACCAACTGGATCTGTATGTCGATCAGGCAATGATGTATCGAGAAATTTGTCGATGAATTCAATGATCTGTTTTCGCCCTTCTGCTGTTTCAACAGAAGGAAAATTGTCAAGCCATAGCAGTGTGTGAAGGTGAGGTAGACCGCCTCGCTGGAATTCAACTTTGAAGAAATAGTTCGTCACAACGTACTCTATGAAAAAAGGATATTTTTTGTCACTGATAAACTTCTCAAAGGCAAGCATGCGTCGATGACACATTCGCGCTACCAATGCGCTGTTTTCATTTACTAATTGTAGATATTCATCATCCGAAAGATGATCAATAGCATCGTAATTTGGACGATCGATTTGTCCGAAACGAGCAGAATCAATATGCGTCAAGAATTCCACATCATCTTGGAGATTGATACTCAAGAATATATTCGGCTTTCCTAACGTCGCATACATTGCACGTAAAAATTTTCGTGGTACACGCCAGTAAGCAGCTGTACCGCGAATAGCTTTGCCGATTGCTAAACGAAATATCGATACGCTAAAGTTGTATATCATCACAAATTAATGTCAGATTTACTCAAGAGTTCTGAAATTTCTCGACATCGAAGATATCAAGATCCTTACATGGATATATGTTGTAGCATAAACGATCGTTTTTGAATTGTTTTTTCACGTGATAATTCACTGCCGAACATAGATCCTCTCGTTGCATCAGGTTCATCGCTCGAAACACCCAAATTGAGTCCGATTGCCATCTTTTGTCAGAAGACATTAATCTCAATTTGTAATAATCGCGACATTTCATAGAAATAGGTCGTTTTGTATCGAGCTCTCCACCCTCGCCATTCGGGTATATCTATGGAAATGTACATTCCTCCATACCAGGTTGAATTTTCCAAACCGGCTCGTCCGCCGGTTTCAGGGTCCGACTTTAAAACAATACAAGAGATATAATTATCTAATGCGTCTCTCTGTATATATACCTCGGTCCAGGAAAATTGTCATTCGCATCGAGAATGATAGGTGCGGCCATTGTACAATTATTATAAGCGTAAGAGTCAATAATCCTAATCGGAGCAATTTGATCTTCTCGGCATTGGAACATTTCTTCAATCTTGTCTAATGGAAGAACTTGTTTATTTCTATATCCAGAGTGGTTTTGAACAAGATATCGTAATGCATTGAGAATCTGTATACCACTAACTGAATAACGCACTGTCGATTTGATTTCACCTCTATGATCTGTTGGTTTTTGTTGAATGACTGCCATAAATTCATAACATTTTGGAAATGGCAGCAGGTCACCTAGAATAAATACGAGTACCTGTCGTTCGACTATATAAATGAAAAAGAAAGCTGATCACCTATATTTTCCACGATATCAGCTTGACAATGCACAACCTGACCTTTCATTGCGGATTGATGGCCACGGACAATCAGTATGCTCACATAGCAATGCATCATGGACACTGCTCGCTGTTCAAGAAAGCCAAGTTTCAAGCATGTCGGTATTGCTGTGGCTTCCAGTCTATTTCGCATTCGACTACGTGGGCAGAAATGTACATCTGCCTTCGGAGAAAACTCATAACAAAACGAACAAATCACATCACCAGCAGAGCAGTCATGATACTTTTCGTCATCCTTTCCTGCTGGTCGCATTTGACATTCTGGATATTCGCATGTGCAACATTGACAAGATATCCATTGCTGCCGCACTTCTGACAAATACCTATTTCGGATTCAGCAGATTCAAAGAAGTGAACTAAATCTATTTTTCTTGTACCTTTCACTCAGAAACTCATGTGTAATGTTAATGTTTTCATTCAACAATTCTTCCGTCAGTTGTTCGTCAAGATTAAATACAGGCATCGTTCCATTCTTTGTCTCATCCAGTTTCTTCCTTCTTTGTCGACATGGCTTCGTTGGTTTAGATAATTTCGAATTGTTCTTACGAATTTTGCACGGCTTTGTGTTTTGATTTCTCCGCGTTTTCTTGCGTGATGGTCTGGATCGCCATCTTTTATGGTCATATCGTTTTCGAGCCATTCCAACCAAAAACTACGCTGACTCGCAAATGGTTCTATCTGAACTTATGACTTTCTTCCTCAGACAATGTGATTGTTTGACAAACAAGTAGTTTCGGAAATATTGACGCTCACTTATTGAAGACAATGACACGCATGTCAGAAGTTGTATTTCTTATTTTGTATACTGTATGAATTTTATTGGCGACTTGTGCTAATGCGATATACGATCAAGTCAACAGCGACTACGTTGAATCAGTTTCAATGTCGAAAGCAGTTCTAATAAAAATACAAAATGAGTTGCACTACAAACGCGCTTTTACAAAAACCGAATTCAAATCATTTTCAATCTTTTTTGTTTCAATTGATTCTACATTAAACTTTCTTTTCAATTTCATTGCCGATATCTGCGCGATGCGATCGAACAAGCCTAATACATTTCTACTCGGGCACGCTCGTAGAATGCGGGCGTATCGCATGCGACAAAGACAACAAGATCCCGACGGCTATAGAAAACATATAGCCGAACAGAGACGCAATCACCGTCTCCGTACTCAAAATGACCTTTTAAAAACTCCACAACCAAACACTCGTCATCCTTCAACTACTCAGAAACGTAAATCGGATCGAGAACGTAAACGTCGCTCTCGTAACAACCAGACAAACGATATGAAAGATGCAGAACGAGAATCGAACCGAAAGTACAAATCACAGAGGAGTAAAGCCACGACACTGATCGATCCGCTCCAAAAAACAAATGATAAAACTCACAACATCATCCATCCAGTGAACAATAACTTAGAACATGTCACGCCATATCACTATACAGTCTCTATATTGTTAAATTGAAACGCCTTTCCCACATAAAGTTCTTGTCAAACACTATTCTCTTTAATATATAAAGTGCTTCTCTCATAACTAGGTTTTGTCATCACTCGAACCATTGTCGATTACAGTATCGGATGCTATCAGTCACTCAGTGATATAATTGCACCGTCGATCGGTCACTCTTTATGTCGATAAGAAAACCTGTCGATCATGGTTCGGGACTATCGTCACAATTACTGGTCCCAATATATGCCAATTTTTCCATGTGACGATCATAGTATGTGACAATCCGAATAAATATCTGGCACAGTCTGTGACGCCTTTTTTACTGGTCTGTCACATGTCTGTGGAGGGGGGCCGGGGGATGGGTCCAAATTTCTACCCCTAAACCTTCAACACTCCCTTCCAGGTTGTGTTTTCCAAAATAAACGCAAGAGCAAGATTTCATTACGAAAAGTCAATAAGAACAATCACTCAATTTTGTAAGCAGCTAAGATACTTCCATAAACCACCTACTAGATTCTGCCAAAATTACTTTGCATTAATTTAGTTATGATGATTTCATACACCCATTCATGCTAAGTTTCTCATATTCAGTGATGCAATAGCTATCCTGTGGATGTTGTTTTTTCTTACGAAAAAATTTGATATCATATGATACATGATTATTTTATACCGGTTAACCAATTAATTGAGTGTTAATTAACGGTTTTCTTTCGTTTCGTTAACCGTTAATATTAACGTTAATTAAAATCGGCAATCAACGTCCGTTTATTAACTCAAATTGAATTAAGTGGTCCACCCCTAATCGTTTGTACACACCTTGGGCACTTTTAGTCCTAGATTGAGATAAACTGTGCGTGTTCTTCTTGCTTTCCGCAGTTCTCTATACTTTTGTAACGTTCTGATGATGTTAAGTTACGACTTAACAAAAATCCGCCAACAAACTCTACAAAAAGAAAAAACATCATTGTCTTATTCTCCGTCTTAGAATAATCATTAACATCAATCAATTCAATTTATCGATTAGAATTAGTATTTTTTGAGCGAGTATTTTCTTTCTTTCACAAGTAGAACAAGAGTTTAGTTAATTTCATACTCGAGAAAGTAGCTTACTACTCTGTCTTCTTTATTTTTTGAAATAGGTTTTTGGTGTGTTTTTAGCTAATTCATCCCGCTTTATCATCAAAGGAGTACATGCGTTCGAAGATAAATTTGTTTGCGAAACAGAAAGAAAGAGTGATTATATATCCGATGACGTTGAAGTTAGGAGGAGGAATGAATGTGAACTTATTTTGTTTGTGACTATGAAATAGAAAGGCAAAGAAATAAAAATGCGAACAGGTCGTCGTTTCTGCGTGCTTCATCGTTGAAAAGAAAAGAGAACGACAGTTTTATTCATTTTAGTTTCTATTGAATGAAGAAACAAGCGAACACGAGACAGAGTCAGCAAGCTATTGAGAGCATGTAAAGTGCGAAGGAAGAAAAAATATTTCACTACTATAACACACTTAATACAGCAAGACACAAAAAAGTAACGCTCTCTCGCAAAGCGGTTGGTAAAATTTACCATGGAGAACATAGTCGTTGATGAAAGATTTGGAGAAATCTATATGGGCATTGAAAATACAATTCAACTTTCAGACGACAACCAAACATGTGAACGAGTCAAACTTGGTCAAGGGGATGGAAGCGGATCCTGCCAGATTCTAGAATCCGAAAGGATCTGGTATATTATAAAACAACAAGCGAAAAATCGGTCCCTGAATACTCAGATCCTATGGATCCTCATGGACTTTATAGATACTCATGGATTCTTTCAAATCCTTCTATATCCTATGAATTCCGGTGGATCCTCTCAGATCCTCTGGATCCGAATGGACTTTATCGGGTCCTATTGGATACTATTAGATTCTAGGAGCGAACTTTTTTGTTCCTCTAGATACATCAGACTCCAACAGTATCTACGGAGATCCAGAAAAAGCCAATAAGGTCTACGAGAATCTAAGAGGACCCCGGAGGATCCAAAAGATCGCGTCGGATCTAAAAGACTCTGATAGGATCCGAAGGATCTTGTAGAATCCGATGGATCTAGCAGAATCTGGGGATCCAGGATCCGCTGTTTTCCCTTGCGTAATAAAGTTTAACCTTACACGAGCGCCCAAGCTACCATCAGAAAACAACTAAGAAAAAAACAACCTACGACCAATCCAGATATATCACAACTACATAACACAATACACTGGAAAGAACACACGCATCGAGCAGTGATCAACGATAAGAACACATTTGCTGCAGAGCTTTGCATATATGAAAAAAGCCATAAACAAAGCCTGAATATCAACCAGCACAAAGAATTCTCAAATCCCCAATGTAACCTTCCTATATGCCGTCCCACATAAAACTACGAACACCGCTTTCCTACACATGAACCAATCATATAAAAGACAAAGAATGCAAGAAAAAAAGTACAGAAAATTACAAGAGGACTCCAATATACACCAAAAGCACTAAAGACATGGCGAAACACCAATTAACTACACTAAAACTCATCCTCCACTCGTCAAAATGAGCGCAGGTTGATGAACCCTTGGATTTACCATTTTTTTCCTTCATCACTATCGTAAATCGTTTGATATACGCGTTCTTTTGATCTACTCAAAAAAGGCATTTCACACGTTGCAGTCAGAGAAACGTTTCAGAATATCGCACCATTGATATACTTTTAAAACGTTTATTAATTTTATGAACCCTATAAAAATTATTTTTTCGTTCTATGTTTTCCACTAATGGCTGTAATACTAAACCAGTTTTTATAAGGTTAACAAAGGTAATAAACGTTTCAAGAATATCGAAATGCTGATATATTCTAAAACGTAAACCAAACTGTAACTTATGAAACATCCTTCTCCGGCAGATCAAAAGAACGTATATATCAAAACGTTTATGATAGTGATGAATCGAACAAAAGGTGAACCAAACGAATCATCAGTTTGATCAGTGCTCTTAAAGGGTTTATTACTGTGCGCCGAGGAGGGAATAGCACTACTCCAATACTACAATACATCAGTCTACTTCACCCTTACTCTAGCAATATTCCACTCTACTCCAACCATACTCCAGCCTACTCCAACGGTACTCTCATCTACTTCAATCTTACTCCGACTGTACACCACTCTAATCCAAGTTTATTCCAGCCCTAGTTCACTTTGTTCCGACCTACTCCAATCGTGCTTCGATCTACTCCACTCATAAACCAGAATCGTTTTTACAGCACTCAAGTAGCGCTTTTCCTCCGTTTCTGAGAGCCCGATTTAATCATTGTGTACCAACCCAAAACAAATCGTCTCCAACATTTTCCTTTATAAACCTATTCACTCTCTTCCGAAACACTAAATATGAAACAACCCATTGTACGCCCTGAACACCTTATTTTCAACGCAAGAAAAAATCAGCAAATAATGATGCTATCGCACGAACATCATCCCAGCCCACAAACAAAACTTTACACCTTCTAATACTCCCACGCCCATAACTACCAGGAGTACATCAAAAGGCTCAATACGCAACCTCCATTTCCTCCAACCTGCACAATACAACCCTCAACTACTCACACTCGCAGAAAATAGCACTTCTGCTAACACTGCAAATCACAAAGAAACACAATGTTGCACATTACACAATCCTTATTTAGTCCAAACCACCGATCTCCATCGAACAACATCTATTAACTCTCTCATTCTGTCTTTCTAATGAAACAGGATCACACAAATCCGAAAATACACGACCCATCACAATCTCACTTCCAGTTATTACATGACAGCATAAATAAAGAGTGGAACCCACCCCGCAAACCCTCCTCTCCGTCCCACACCATAACGGCGCATCATCGACATTCACCATACGAACGTTAACTCTTTTCAGCTCACCCTAAACCGAACTAGAGAGCAATCTTCTCAAAAAAACCAAAATAACGATTTTAATCATAGAGAACCGCCAAACACAACAAACAGTCCTAACCATCAGGATCTCCCTTTTTATCTACATAGAATAGATTAGGTGGAGGTTCTGTCTTAACCATCAGGATCTCCCTTTTTTATCTACATAGAATAGATTAGGT